CAGATGATGACCGCATGTCCCTGACGACGGCGGTGAGCGAGGACGAAGAAGGAGAGAGCGTGCACAACTCGCCCTACAAGGCCCCGCGCGCCGGCACGACCGCCGCGTCCTTCAACTGCACCGGCGCCGTCAGGAAGGCTGGGTAAGTACATCTTACAGATGGCAGTTGTTGTTAGCATGGCGGCCGCAAGTCTTCCTCTCCCTGAGTTACGAGGATGCAACAGCTCCTCGTATGTTACATCTCCAAGGATGGGCGGAGGGGCGCGATTTGCCTCTTGGTGCGCCATGCTTCTTCTCGGTGTTATAAATCGCAAAGTTTCTCCACGGGACGAGGGATCACAGAAATCTCTCTTTGAGTTACACGGACAGTTTCTTCTCTTGAGCTTCAAACTTCTTGCAGAGTCCTTTGTCTCTTGTATTCTGTAATCCTGTTTAGGCTTTCTGTGAGTCTGGGATCTCCGTCGCTCGCAATTTTAGCCTCTGATCCGGGAGTCAGATGATTCATAGACAGATCGCGTTGGATTCTCTCGGCTTCAGTGCACTACGATCTATCCACAATCTCCACTTTCCCTCTGTCTATCCCTCATTTTTCCTTCTATCCATTCGCCTCTTTCTATCCCTCCTCCAGGGTTAGTAAAAACCAGAGGCCATAAGGCTGCAACAGTTATCCCGGGGACCTAAATCTTTTCTGGCCTTTTGAAGAGATTTCCATTCATGAACTACCCCCACACATCACCTTCCGCCGTTTCTCTCTCTCTCTCTCTCTCTCTCTCTCTCTCTCTCTCTTCTCTCTCCTCTCTCTCTCTCTCTCTCTCTCTCTCTCTCTCTCTCTCTCTCTCTCTCTCTCTCTCTCTCTCTCTTCTCTATCTATCTATCTGTCTATTTTCCTTTTTTCCATTCGTTTTGCGTCTTTTTCTCTTTTCATTCTCTCTCTTTCTCTTTACTCTCCTCTTTTCTCTTTTTCTTCTCTCTCTCTCTCTCTCTCTTCTCTCTCCTCTCTCTCTCTCTCTCTCTCTCTCTCTCTCTCTCTCTCTCTCTCTCTCTCTCTCTCTCTCTCTCTCTCTCTCTCTTTCTCTTCCCGCGGCCTTGTTTATACACTGCGGAACACATCAGAAAATTGGATTGGAGATATCAGATGCAGGGAACGGGATTATAAATTTGGAGATAACGATAACGCCACAGTAAGTTAATGTGATTTAAAGGCGTGTGAACAGGAGTTGCCGCGACGCGCTCCCCTGGAGGGCTGGTGTCACGTGACTAAACTGTTTTTTTTTTTTTTTTTTACTGGTCTGCGTTTGTGTGTGTGTGTTGTGGTGTGTGTGTGTATGTGTGTGTGTATGTATGTATATTTACACGCGATATGTGCGGCTGTATACGTTAAAGAAAAGCTGTATGCGAAAAGGAAGGTTATAAAGGTCGCGCAGAAAGGGAGGGTCTGTAGATTAGATCCGAGGAGACGAGAGTGGTGATAGACGGCGGGTTAAGGGAGAGGAGGGGCGACGAAGAGGGAAGCAGACAGGAGAGTGGAAACGCGTGGGGAAATACGAAGGTGGAGAAAAGAGGGGAAGGCAGGAAAGAAAACTGACAGGAAAAGAATTAGGTCTGAAAAAGAAATGCTGAGAAAGAGAGAAAGAGTCACGGAGAGAGAAAAAAGAATCAGAGAGAGAGAGAGAAAAAAGAGAAAAAGCGTCAGAATCAGAGAGAGAGAAAAAAAGAAAAAGCCAGTCAGAATCAGAGAGAGAGACAGAGATAAACAGAGAGAGACAGAGAGCCAAAGCTACATGACTAGAAGCCGAGACGCATAAACCAAAGACGCTGAGAGAGAAAAAAAAATAATAAGATAAAAACTTTTAAAAACTCAGCATGCAGCCCTAAATCCCAAGGGCGATGATAGGACTCCCGGCGAAGAGATTCCTGGCGGGCTAATAAGGTGGCGCCGTGAGATTATCCCGGCCGTAATAAAGTGTCACCATTAAACCTGCTTCCGGAGAAATACTGGCAGGCTGTAATTTGGCCGGGTTGAAAAATCGGTCCTTCTTGAGACTAAGATGGCGGGGATAATTACACGTTGTTTGGGGGTGAGGGGAGCAACGGGGGAGGGAGGAGGGGGGTAAGGAGGAAAAGGGTGAACGGAGAATAGGCTTAGGGTAGGGTATGGAAGAAGGGAGGGTAAAAAGGGGCACGGGGGTGGTAGAAAAATGAAGGAGTTTTGAGTTATTGAAAGGGGGTGGATTGGACTAGCTTATGGGAATGGGGTGGGTTAGGGGGTAGGGGTGGGGCAGTAAGGCGGAAGGCGGGTTTTAGGGAAATATGGGTAGGGGGCAGGGTTTAGGCTGATAGAGGTGGAGCAATAGGGTGGTAGACGGGGCTTAGGGAAATGTGGGTGGAACTTTGGGGTAGGATGCGAGGTTTCGGCTGATAAGAATGAAGCACTAGGATGGGAGGCGGAGCCAAGGGTCATGGGTGGAAATAGGGTAAGAGGCGGGGGGTATGTAGGTGGAGCGTTAAGTTTGAAGTTTGGGCTTAGGGGAATATGGGTGGAGCTATAGGGTTAGCGGGGTTAAGGGAAATATGGGCGGAGCTTTTGGGCAGGAGGAGAGGCACAGAGGAACGGGGGAAGTATTTGGGGAGTAGAGGAGAGTATCAGGGAGATGGAAAGGGAGTCCAGCGTGCGAACTCTACGAGACAGGATGCCAAAAAAAGAGGATTCATCGTGTAGTTTTAAGAAGATAAGAAGCATGATGGAGGCCCTAAGCCATAAGATGTAACGGTGATGAGGACGAAGAGCGATGCAATTTGCGGGAAAGGGGTGAAGGAAGCGTTTAGCAAGAAAGAATGTGCTGGGAGAAAAAATGCTTCATGCAGAAAATGATACGGGGAAGGGAAAAATACACATCGCGTTCCCGGAACCGACTGTGGTGTGTACAGAAGGATGGATGTTATTCGAGGAAAATGAATTGCAAATGTGTGAATGAAAAAGATGGTCTAAGGGGAGGCAACATCAGCGGTAATTTAATCTAGCGCAATATAATTGGTTTGTATTGTCAGCCGAGGGGCGACCCCGAGGCAGGTCGGCGCGGGTGTCAGAACGCAGCCCGCGGCTCTGTGTCTCCGAGGCTCGTGTGTCTATCGTCGCCACCCAGCATTAACGAGAACGTGTACGGCTTGTTGATAATTAGGGTCGGGTTCATGCGTCCCATGTGGTGCGCGGCGGGGATCTGTGGGCCGGAGTAGAGGCGGGATGGTTTTAAAGGGGAGAGGCATGTGTGGGTAGTAAATTGGCCGGCGTGAGTTTTTTTTTATGATGTGCGTTGCCCAGGATTTGGTACGTCTGTCACTCGGTTCCTCGTCAAGTCATTCGTCATGTCTTGTGTAAGTAGACTTGGTATTTGGTATCACTCAATAGTCGTGTGCAGCTGATGGAATACACTTCAACATTCTCTTTGGCGTAAATCATTCAACACTTCAATCTTCTTAAAACGTAGGGATGAATCAGTCAAGTCATCTGGCATACCGGCGGCTGTATCTGAGGTACTCAAAGTCAGTCAGCACTCAACATTTGTAAGTCAGCGATTGTCTCCTATGTAAGTCAGGACATCTCGTGTATGGCAGTATGCACTTAATTGGAGAGCCAGGCGACATCTTACGTAAGTCACTCAACAACACACGTTTAGAACAGTGATCACCTCTTCCACAATGCTCTCTACAGGTCATCCACAAGTCCACAATCACACGCCACCCTTGGGACTTTTCATATTTCAGGGACGAGGAACACTTCTATATCAAATGCCCATAGACTGGAGGCCATTTTGCAATACAGTGGGACGGTAACTATCCTGAGCGAGATTTTGGGAATGTGCATTTTCACTTGATATTCATTAGAAGAAAGGTGATAATTGATAAGACGGCATTTATACGAATTTCAGATGAAAAAATTAAGGGATGAATTGTTAAAGTCCACATCACAATGCGACAATGAAATATCCCAATATCTTGCCATTCTTCAACGTGAAGCATGTCATTGTTCACTCAATTATTATTAATGCTAGACTGGCGTTTCAGGCAGTTTCATCAGTGTGATTGACCTCATTGTAACTTTTCCTTTGTAGTTTGTTTCGCGCAGTTTTTCCCAGGGGTCTGTCTTCCGCATGGTTTCGCTCCTTTATTGCAGCACGATTGCTGTTTTGCCCAAGTTTCATTACTGTTTGATCAGCTTTATTTGCTGTGTCCCTTTTCATGTCAAGTAATCAGATTTAAGCTCGGCAGAAATGAATTTCTTAATATGAAGATGAGATTCAAGAGTGTCTGGTTTTTTTTAATTCTCCCTCGTAGGCATTCGTTTTTTTTTTTAATCGGAAGTTTTTTTGTCTTCATTTCTTCTTAATAGTCACTCAATATCTTTTCTTCTGTCATCAGATGATGATCCAAATGCTGGTGCTTATGAGGTTGATTCTAGTACTCTCACATGGCCAACGCCTGTTTCTGTTGGGTGAATGTTATTAACTAGGTGACTTTTTAGGTCTAGCCGGAGCTGCTTATAACTACGAGGGTATCCCAAGTTTAAAAGCACATTTAATGTTTCAGGTTCAGATTGTTCCTGATTTTTATGCCTTTGTTCCGGCGAAGTAGTATAGGCCTTGTATTCCTACTTGAAAATGCTGTATCTCTGTTTTTTAAGGCTTTTAACGACTGCATAATATAATTTAGTCATGCAGGTCTGCCTTGCACAGGATCTTTCATATGGTTTAGACAGACAAGGCATTGTATCCTCCAGGCTCTCGTGACAGCACCTCTTTTCAAACGATACACACTTGGAAGTCGTGTGCATTTTACCCCCACAGGATTTAGGATAATTCTCACTTCGTCCCACATGTTTCCGCGCCTACACTCCCCACCTCTTGCTTCAAAACGGGGTGTTATGACCCACCCTCCGAGACACCTCATTTCTACACTGTTTCAGCTTCACAGGTCCAGGCAAGTGCAGACGATTCTCACACGATTTGCTTCTTATCCCACGCTGTCTTACATCACGAGATCCTTCACCAAACGTTCAAAGTTTCCAGGAGGCGTTCGTGACTTGGTGTGTTGCAGGTGGCTAGGATGTGTTAGTCCACGGCTGTGTGGACTTCCGCGGAAAGTTTG